GTGGGTGGTGGCCAGGGGCAGGCCAAGGGGCAGTGGGTGCAGGTTGCAGCGCAGGCAGCTCCATGTGGCCGTGAGGAAGAACTTGTTTGGTGGGAGGSTGCCCRAGCCCTGGCCCAGGCTGCCCAGGGAGGCTGCGGAGGCTCCTGCTCTGCAGATCTGCCAGCGCGCCGGGATGCGCCCGGGTGCCCCGTGCTCTGGGTGTCCCTGCTGGAGCAGGGGCTGCGCTGGGGGAGCCCTGSGGGTCCCTTCCAGCCTCAGCCACCCTGGGATCCTGTGACTTGCTCCTCTCAGGGAAACTATTTCCAGTCACCATTACATGTACTACTGTGCTGTTATCTGTAGATCTGAATTAGTAAATTGTCTCCCATGTTGGTCATGACCCTGGAAGGTCAGCATGGGTGGGACACTCCTGTTCTTTTACTGACGGTCTCCCACCCATTTTGGGTCGCTAGCAAATCTCCTTAGTGCTCGCACTCTTTTGGGCTATGCTTCCTCGTGAACAGAATGTAAATCACGAACCCCTTTCAAAATTTCATCTGCGTATTCCTAGTAGGAAAGAGTTCTAGAAGATGCTGCAATGCAGGAGCTGGGCTGCTTTCTGTTTACACCTTATGCCTAAGGTTTAAATAGAGGGAATTCTAAGAAAAAGCACTGCCCCTACTCTACAGAAATCAAACTTGCGTTTTCGTGCATGTATAGCCATAAAAAATGACGTGCTGATTCATCCATTTACTATGTACTGTTCAGCACGACATCACTGAACAAAGAATTATCCGTGCACACGCAGTCTTGTGGCTTCTGTGACTGGAAGGACATCCAACGCCTGGGAAGACGTTACCTATTACTTGCCAGCTGGGTATTCCTGGCAGGTTAGGAGCAGCTTTGCGATCCCAGGGGCTGGATCTCAACTGCAAGAGCATTTTCCAAGCTGGAAACTCTACTTTGGTGCTCCCATTTTCCCTTTTCTAATGGTSATTTATTGCCTGATTCCTTTTACGTGTGGATTCCTGCTGAGCCGCAGCAGCTCAAGGACTTCTTGCAGTGGAGATGCTCCCTAAAATACTCTTTCCGTGCTACTTAGGCTGATGCCCCACTGCAGTCAGCTGGCACAGGGGGTAACTTGGCCATTTCTAGGTGGTTTTCCTTCCTCACAGGGGTGTAATTTGGTTTCGGTACAAAACGGGAAGCTTCCTGAGCCGACCTCAGCAGCAGAGCCCCTTCAGCAGRGGGTTTTGGTGCTGGGATCAGGTGCTTTCACCACAATAATTAAGCAGGTTGCAAACCACACGCACGTGGAGAGAAGGGAACCCGCAGGGGCCCTTGTGAGCGCGGGAGCCGCGTTACCTTGAGCGGGGGCACGCGTGGCGCCGGGGGGCCGGGCGCYGGCGGCTGCGGGCCGCCCTCCGCCACGCGCGGCCTCTTCTCGGGCGAGCCGAGGGCTCCGTCGCGGCTCTCCGCCTTCCTCTTGAGGCCCTCGGCGCTCACCTCCATCTCTTCACCCGCAGGGCGCTGCTTCTCGGGCGCTCCCGCGGGGCCACCCGCTCCCGCTCCTGCTCCCGCTCCGCCGGCCTCGGGGCTCTTTGGTTTGCAGGGCGCCGCAGCCGAGGCGCRGGGGGGCTCCGGCGCATCCGTGGGCGCAGCGCGCGGCTTCTCCTCCTCGGGCTGCCGGCTCGCGGCCGGCTCTGCCCTCTGCGCCCCCGCGTCCCCGCTGGCGGCTCTGGAGGGCCGGCACGCGGAGCGCTCGCCGGCTCTGCCCGCGCCGCCCTCCGAGGCCGCGGCGGCGCCGGGGGCTTTGGCCGCTTTGGGCTGCGCCGCCTCGCGCCCGTCCTCCTGCCCGCTTTTGGGGGCCGCCGCGGGCGCTGCGCGGGCGCCGGGCTCGGCTGCAGGCGGCGGGGACGGCACCGCGGGGCGCTGCGGCTGCCCCGGCGCCGCGCGGCCGCTCGCCGGCTCCGCGGGGCTGCTGCTCGCCGTCAGTCTCTTCGACTCTTCAGGGCTTAGTCCAGAACTGGAAAGGAAAGCAGGACTTTTAGTTTATATCACATTTAAAAGCATCTTAGGGTTCTCCACGTGCCCCAATGACATGCATCACGCCCTCCCGCAGTTTTATACCAGTCTTAGGAAGTAAAGGCAGCGCTGGAGGTTTTCAAGCAACACAACAGGACTTCTTAGCTAAGTTTCACAGCAACCACGTGTCACACGACACAGGCCTGCCCCCACCAGCAGCAGCTTGGGCGTCTCCCACTGCCCGGTGCTTCCCTCTCCGTGGGGCGAGAAATGAACAAACCAGGGATCGAACTCCCGAGAGACATCTGGCGTGGGGGTGAAGTCCTACGTCCCTCCTAACTAAACGGCAAATCTGCTTTTTTTGCCCCAACATGAAGCCGTAAAGCCTGGTGAAGTCAGTCTGGTGAGGACTGCTATGACTGAGATGGCTGGTATCTTCCAAACCAGCTCCTAGGAACTCAATTCTCAACAGCTTCTCCCACAGGAGGTTGTCCAACCCCCTGCACACGCAGGGTCACCCAGAGCACGSGGCACAGGGCTGCATCCAAGTGGGTTTGGGAGATCTCCAGAGCAGGAGCCTCCACAACCTCCCTTGGCAGCCTGTTCCAGGGCTCGGGCACCGTCACTGTCAAGAAATTTTTCCTCAAGTTCCTGGGGAACTTTTGGTGCTTCAGCTTGTGGCCGTTTCCTCTAGTCCCATCAGTGGCCTCCACTGCRAAGAGGCCGCCCCGTCCTCCCCACTGCCTCCCTTGAGGGATTTGTCCTGCTGTCCTCATCGGCTACGTGCATGTGTCTGTGCATTCGCGGAGCTGATGACTTCCTGAGCGTCACGGGACACTCAGACACCACAGAGCCCAGGGAATTACAYTGAAGAGCCCTAAGAGGGGAGCTTCTCCACGGGTCCCAGGAAGGAGGGGGAAAGGTGAAGGTGGGAAGCCTGAACGACGCCCTCACTCGAGGTCAGAGCATCAGAAACGCCGTGGAAGCAAAAAGCCTGCTCTGGAAAGCAGTGAGGAAAGCTGCTCAGCTCGGCCCCGGCCAGAGGACCCGGGCCCGTGTTGCAGGATGAGAGAAGCTGATCAAAGCCCCAGGCCTGGGAGCTGAAACTCCTGGACAGGCAAGGAGAAAAGCAGAAAAACACCCGAGTGTCTTACCTCTGACCATAGTAACTCTCGAAAAAATGCTCCTTCCACAGCTCCACCTTCTTCTCTTTTTCTATCTCCTGACGTATTCTTAGCTGCATTTCTGGCGTGAACTCCCCTGCAAAACACAACAGGGGACCGAGGTTGTGACCACGCAGGACAGTCTGAACCGGGAACAACAAACAACTGGGATCAACTGAAAACCGGGAACAACAAACAACTGGGATCAACTGAAAACCGGGAACAACAAACAACTGGGATCAACTAACAACCGGGAACAACCAACAACCTGGACCGGGGGATTTTCCTTCCGAAGACCCCCCAGGTGTGCCCCATTCCCAACATGAAGAAATTTCCCAGCTTCACTCATGGAAGCCATTCCCAGGCGTCCCAGCCGGTCGTGTCCCACGTTCCTCRCATGAGGAACTCCCACGTCCTTTCCAGGCTCACAGTCTATCACCATTGCATGTCATACAAGCAGCTCTAATTATTTGGTGAAGCTTATGTTTCTTGGAACATTATCACTTTTGCAAGGAGATCATAGACAAAACACCAGCAAAATAGGAAATGAGCTTGGTTACAAGGAGCTTTGGYCCAAATGCATCTATCCACCTGCTGCATTTGCAGGAGTTCTGCGCTGCAGGGCTACAGAGGCCTCCTCCTGCAGCTCGGGGAGCTGCTTTAGCCTTCTTAGACACAGCCTGCAAAACCAAGGCTTGAATTTCTTCCATTTCGCATCGATCCCGAAGATGCTTCCTCGCTGCCAGCGAGAGCAGCCAGCGGCTGCCACCACGCAGCTCCCGTGGGCCACCGACACTCACACGGGCTCCACGCTCCTGCTGTCACTTCCCCAGCCGCTTCCCCATTTTCAGAAAAACAACATGGGAATTTTGCTCCACCAAAACACGCTCCCCYGCAGCAGCATTCCCCTCTGCTAAAGCAGCTCCCTCCTGGGCACAAAGCCTGTGTTAGCGTGGGACAGCTCCCAGGAGATCACGGCCGGGCCGAGACAGACCGCGGGGCTCCCGAGGAGCAGCCGGGGCTCCTATGTGCTCCTCAATGCATGGCARCACACGCACAGAGCTGCAGCAGACGCACACGGGCACCGCGGCATCGCCGGGCGCTCCTGGCTGCCCAAGCCCTGCACGTGCTCCTGGCAGCGGCGCTGCCCTGTGCAGGCGCGTGCCAAACAGAAAGATCTCCAGTGCGCCACAAAAATAGAAAAGTTTTCCCATTTTCTCATGGTAAAACCTTAAGATGCTGACACAGGGGCTGGCAGACGGCCGTGTGGCTCCTGCTGGAATCGTGACCTCCAGCCCGGGACTGACGGCGCAGGCGGAGCTGAGCGCCCGGGACCCCGGCCCTCCTGCGCCTCCCTGCGCCGCGCTCGCCCGCCCGGGCGCCTTTACCTTCCGAGAGCCTCTCCTTCCAGCCCTGGGCCGCCGAGGTGAAGAACTCGTTGTTGAGCGCGGAGCCGCTCAGCTTCATCACGCCGTCCGCCCCGACCTGCAACACACGCAGCAGCTCGCCTTAGGGCCCCGAGGAGGCAAACGGGTCGCGTGGTGAAGGAAAACAGGGCAAAACGGGAAAATGCAGCATGGAGGCAATCAAGGGACATAAAAGGGACTGCTAAAAAGTAAGTTTCAATTGAAAAGAACTGCAAATGTTGCAGACAGCCCAAGTGCTGCAGGAGAAGGAYGGAGACACTGCCCGGGCAGGGCTGGGGTGGAGGCTCTAAGTGAGGGGCTGCTGGAGTGATGCACAAAGGCAGAGTTTTCTAACCCGAATCTCTAACCTAATTTCTAATTTCTCACCCAAATTTCTAATTTCTCACCCCTCCTTTCTAACCCAAATCTCCAGTGATCAGCCGCAGGGAGCAGAATTCAGAGGCCCCCGTCTCCTGCACCCATGTGCGGTGCTCGGACACTGCTCAGGACACATGTCCCCGGCGGGGGGGACGACTGCGCCGCACATTTTGCTATGGGGAAATGTCAGGCCTGTGATTTAGCTCCTCAAAACGTGTCCCCAGTCAACGGTAATGGAATTGGAGGACACTTGGAGCKAAACCCAGCACAGCGACACCATGCCGTCTGCTCCCATCTGCTCCAAACTCCATCAACCCGCTTTCTGATGCACACCTAATTATTGCAGAGGCCACAGGACACACAAAGCCTCTAGTCACGTATGTTAAGGCATCTAGATCTGTGGCATCCCACACGATCAAGTGAGAGCACAGGGCAAGATCCTCTTTTACCTGGGAGTTCCCAGGCCCCTATGGGTGGGCAATTCATGCACGGGATAAAAGGGGAATCGTCCCTTTGCTCCCCAAACCCTGATTTCAGTAAGGCAGGACCCAGCCAACATGTGGCCAGCACTCTTCACCTGGCCAGACGAGTTCCTCTGGCTTTGTCATGGAGAACAAGGGTAAGAGGGGTTCTTACCACTTAAAAGGAACCCCCATGGTAAACCTAGCATCTTGAGGGTCTTTTCCAACCATAATGACTCTATGATTAAACAAAAGCAAGGATGCTTCTCCATGCTGCAGGATGGAGAAATTCCACCCTGGTTTCCTTCCAAAATGTTTATTCGCCCGTCGTATCAGCGACCAAACGTGACTGGAGGTTGCACAGCAAGGCAGAGCCGGTGCTGCTGGAGCTTCCAGGTCCTTCCAAAGGGACCCCAGTGCCGAGGGCTCCGTGCTGCTCCCGCAGCTGCCCGTGTCCCTGCTCCCCCTCGCACGATGCTCACTGGAGACCGAGGTCGAAGCTGCAGCATGTGTGTGGACACCAGGTCACCCCAGAAGCTCCTCCAGCAATCACCATTCGCTCTTCTCTTCTTCATCACCCCTTGACCAACAYGGATTCAGCTTAAATGTTTGGCCTGCTCCTATTCCCACCCAGGCCTCTGTCTGGAGGCTGGACTCCAGGTCTGGACCAGGGGTCCGTCTGCAGGACTCGGMTCTCTGGTCCTTAACAGCTACAACGCTAGGCATAAAATAAAATTTTGTCTCTGTTATTTCAACCTATGGACCTATCACAGTATATCCTCCTTACAGTCTCCTCGTGCTCATCCTCAAATCACAGGAGAAAAAGCTGGAGGCTTGGAGAGCCTCCGATCTGCTCCCCCTCCCAGGGCAGCAGCAGCAGCATCGGGCACCCTAAGGATCTCCCTTAGGGAGGAACCACCTCCGAGTAGAACAAGATCCAGCCAGTTCCCATCTGAACCATCTCCTTAAATGTCTGATTTTTAATGKCTGCAACTCAAATCCATAGCTTCCCGTTCCAGCTACTCTGAGCAGAGAGATCAGCTCACTCATTTCCCCTTTGCAGCCCCAGAAGACAAGTCCTCCTCGATGGCCTCCTCAACATGTCCTGGTGTGGTTCCAGCTTGCAGGTTCCGCCATTCCCACCGCTTCCTGCACGTGCATTCCAGCTGGGACACGTCTCCTTCAGGAAGGCTGCTGCTGCATTCCCAAACCCGGYGCTGTGGAAAGGAGCTTCTGCTGCAGCGCCAGAACCGTCACCGAAAGCCAAACACGGCAGCTCCTCCTCTGCCCTCTGCATGGCGGCTACCRAGGAACATCCTGATTAAGCAATTAGACTGGCATGACACAATTTAAAAAAAAAAAATCCATGGTAGCTATTGCTTATCTCYCTTTAATCACTTTACAAGCAGGTGGTTTTATCCACAAGTATCCCGGTGTATAAAGAAGCAGATTGTACGTGATTCCCGAATTCCCTTTTCTAATTCCTTTTACGTGTAAGGGCAACATTGTGGGGTTTTTTTCCTTTTCTCTCAGCATCACCCTCATCTTTCACAAGCTGCTGTGGAGATCGCTGCAGCCAAGTCTCCTGTGAATCCCTTGGGATGAAACTCGGATGCAGCTGCCTTGAAAATAATCACCCTACCCTTGCAGCCCCTCCGCTCTCCTTCCTGTCATTAAGGTTAATCATTCCCGTTATTGCCAACCAGAGAAACCTTCACTGCTCCTCCTGTGCCGCTCCCAGGGCAAAATCACTGAAAACTTCTCTATTTATTTAATAAATTTCAGCACATAGCAAGGCATTAGGCATCTGCTCCACACTGCATCCAAAGGGGCCTTCTCGTCCAGTTTAGACACCAGGTCTTTGGAGCAGGTCCAGCCTACTCTGGACAGCAGAAAACATCCAGTTTTCCTAGATCCACTTCAGTGTTTTCCAGCAGTAATGTAAGGTATTGAAGACGGAAGAGGATGAAACTGCTTAGGTGAGGTGTGAGCAGTACCTGYGTGAAGGGCTCTGGGGTTAATCCTGTGCCGAAGACTTTGGAAAGGGGCTGGAGAGAGAAAGACACTGAAAACACAGGAATCGCCCCGTTCCCAGCACTCTTGGCCCTCGTCAAAACAGAAGCGCCGACTCGGCCACAACTGGGGATAAAGAGGTCGCTGAACGCAACGGGCTCCGTCAAAGCCAAATCGTTATTATTTTTCATTCCAGGGAGCAACAAAAGAAAGGGAATCAGTGGAGAGGCTGGTGCTCCAGTGCAAACCCATGGAGGGACCGCGTCCCGCATGGCAGATCCCACCGGCCACGTACCTGTCTGTCCCCCTTGGGCAGCAGCAGCCGCCGCAGGGATGGACGATGGATGCAGAGCTTTCTAACCCAAACCTCTAACCCAATTTCTAATTCCTGACCCAAATCTAAGCYGGCCGGGCACGCACCTGCCTGTCCACCTCGGGCAGCAGCAGCAGCAGCCGCTGCTGGCACTCGGCGGGCAGCACGGAGAACGTGTGCTTGTTGATGAGCGCCCGCAGGTTGGTGTTCACCAGGATGGAGTCGGGCGTCTCCACGTCGATCTCCGCACATTTGGCTCTCTTCAGCTGCCCTGCAAAGAACCACAAAGAGCGACGTGACGGAGCAGGCTCCTCCGTGGAGCTCCCTGTGCTCATGGTGCCGCGTTGGGGTCTCCTTTCGGAAGACACCAAACACCCCGCCTTGCCTCTGCACGTATAGCTAAGAGAAAAACTCTGGCACTCCTTTCTGCAGAGGAAATTTCACTCCCCGACATCTGTGTCAGTTCACCCACCTTTTCTAGCAACCCCGGCCATACYCCACTTGAAAACAACCGACCCAGTCCTAGCAATCCCCACGCTGAGGAGCGGCAAGGGACCTTCTGCAGGAGGGGCTTTAGAGATGTTTTAGCCACATTTATTCTCTGCTTTCAGCCTCTAAGGTCAGTCTGTTCCTCGGGATTTTTTTCCTGGACGTTCCTACTTTGTTGGCAGCATCTCAGAAAATCCAGCAGCCCCTTGGGCTCGTCCGGAGAGCTCTGCACATACCTGGCACCCTGCAGCCATCGTCTGCCTGTGCTCGATGAACATCCATGTGAAGACTCAGGGAAAACTGCACTATTAGAAAAATGGCTCATTTTAAGAGAGACTAGGACCACAGCCAAATCCTCCTAGGCTTGGGAAGAGTGACTAAATGGGAGCAGGAGCTCTGCATGAAACCATGGGTGGCTGCTGGCAAAGGAAGAATCGCTTAAAAACTGGAGGAGGCGGGAAGGGAGAAATCCCAGGGAAGAGGGAACAGATGGTGGATAGAACCTGTCACGCTGGGGATTTGGGGCCAGCATGAGAGGCTTCGGGCTGAGAATGGATTGTCCCCAACTCCTGTGGCCTCCAAGGTTTTCAGGGATAAGGAATTCTGGGCTGGTCAACAGAGATGGAGACCTCAGCAGAGCTGTAAGTTCAGCGAGGTCAGGTCCAGTGCTGCTCTATGTGGAAGAGACCACTAACGTCAGGAGAGCTGAGCAGGATCCAGCTTGAGCGCACGGGAGGCGGGCAAGGAGCCGGGGGGCTCGCACAGCAGCACCCAGCAAAGATCTCTGCTTATGTCACTCAGGAGCCTTCAGCACACCAAAAAGCCTCCCAAATACCAGGCGGCCTCTCTGGCTCCTCAACAGTGAGCTGCAAACTCACAGACAGAAATCCCTGAGGGCAAGAAACGAGCAAGGGCGTCTTGCATGTGTACGAGGGGAATTATCTTTCCTAATCCGTGCAGCTTAATTGGAGGATCTTCCAGGATTTTCCCCAAATCACTTCAGTACTGGCCCCAAACAACACATTTTCCCGGTTTTCCTCTTTGGGCTTTTGCCCCGTCCCCCGAGCAGCTAATCTTGGGAGGCAGAAACACAGCGGATCTTACGTGCGTGGAGCCTGTCGGATCTCTGGAAGGGCTTCTTGGGCAGCGGCGGCAGGGAGCTCCCGAGCTTGACGGAGGCAGCGGGGCCGCCCGCGGCGCTGGCGAGGCTGCTGGGCCGCCCGGCCGCCTGCTTTCCCTCCCAGGCTGCGTGGGAACACAGGCGTTTACATGAGGGGCACCAAGAGGCATCACACGGGTGCTGTGTGTTGGCACCCGTGCCCGGCCCGGCACCCGCGGACTTATCCCGCACTTTCCCTCTGGCAGCCCTTGCCTTCCAAAGCAGCAGCAGCTCCTTGGAGCCATCAGGCTACCACGAAACACAGAGGTCGACACCACCTCGTCACTCCTCGAATCCCTTTCTCAGCCCCCTCTCATTACATTAACATCGTTACCCACTCCAGYAACGTTCCTTTCACACGTAGCTCTGGGGTCTGCTGGGACCCATAAAATCTCTTGGAAACCCTGGGCATCACTTCTGAATTTTACCTCTCCTCAAATTGGCTCCTGTCTTAACCAACCTCGGCAATTCCTCCTCCTCTGCCAAACACCCCGAGATATTTTCAGCTCCTCCTCCAGGTCTCTGCTCAYCCCGTCACACTAGACAGATCTCGGCATCACGATCTCCCCATCCGAGTGGGTGCTGCCCACGCTCCCTGCTGCAGAGCCGTGGTTTTCCCTGCTGCTGGGCAGTGCTTTGTCCCTCAGCTTTCTCCCCTCCTCTAACGTGGAACCAGAGCACGAAGCCCAGCTGCCAATATCCACCTGCTCCTTGTGCGTCTTGGGCAGATATTGTGTTTCTCGGCTGGGCAGTTTGGAACCAGCGAGCCACAAGGGATTAGCTCCAGCTTGGATTTTCTAGGGCTATTTAGAAAGGGAGAATAAATATGCTCAAATATAGGGTAAAATAAAAAGCTACTAAAGGCGACAGGAGACAAGGGAGCATCTCCAGTTCCGCAAAGGGCCAAGGTGGGTAGAACTGGAAATCCTGGAATTCAATCAGAGCAATAACAAAAAGCTAGCTAGAGGCTGATAAAAACACGCTGAGGATAAAGCAAGGAAGGTGGGAAGGGAATGAATGGACTGGCGGGAAGGGGAAGGGCCCCGGGGCTGCTCGTCACCCTGGTCGGCGGCGCAGGTCCCCTCTGCAGCTCCCGGCTCGCTGTGCTACGCCCTGAGCGTTCATATTTTCATCAGCTTTTGGAGATGAATCAAGATCAGTAAAATCAAGAGGAAAGGCTGGAAAAAAATGGGAGGAGTTTCCACCTCGTGGATCAAGTGTCTCAGCCTGACGCAGAGCAAGTGGCTTTGCCTGCCCGAGGTAACGTCACAGATGGGGGCGAGAGCGGGGACTTCGGAAGCACGCACAGCCCCACAGGACAGGGACAAYGTGGGTATTTCAGCTGGGGCGGAGCCCTGCAGCTTATCCCAGAAAGCGAATTTGGGGATGCCCAGGAGCTACTGGGAATACACGGTAACTCCTGAGCTGCTGCTGCTGTGGTAACGAGCAAAGAGCTGCTGCACGAAGGAGAGACGCGGCCCCACTGATCCCTAATGCAGCACTAACGCTGYGGGGCACCGCGGCATCTCCCAGATGGGAACATCCACCTTGGCAACAAGAGGGTTAAAGGGCCCTCCAGAACAAAAGGACTGTCAATATGGCCCCAAACTGCTCCTGCAGCCATGAGGAGGACGCGGCTGCAGCGCAGGGGCGGCCAGCGGGGACCACGAGCGGCTCCTCCGCGGCCAGGGGCGCAGAGAGCCCCGCTGCCGGCCAAGCGCTGGCCTAGGAAGGCATGAGCACCGCGGCTCCGGCTTCCAGACACACAACTCCCCCGCGAAAACAGGGAAAAGCAAGTCACGGAGCCGTGGGAGCGCCCGCCACGTACCCGCTTTGGGCGTCGCGGAGTCGCCGGCCGCCTTCACCGCCTTGAGCAGGACGTGCTGGCCGGCCACGGGCATCGCGGCCCGGCACTGCTGCTGCTGCTGCTGCTGCTTCTGCTGCTGCTGCTGCTGCTGCTTCTGCTGCTGCTGCTTCAGGGCCTGCCGGGGAAGGGACACGAGCGTCACCCACAGCAAGGCGAAGCCACCGGCGCAGCCCGGGTCCCCGCGCCGCGGAACCGCAGCGGCACGACGGGCAAGGGCACAGCTCTACCCGGCTCCCGAAACGCCTGCTGTGGGGGRCACTGCCCGCTCGAGGGCTTTGCGGCTAAAGCAAAGGCCAAGGGCTGCAGAGCATCTCCAGTTGTGTTGTTTCAGGGGAAAAGGGGGGATTCCTGGACAGTGCAAAGGGAAGGAATTCTAAATCTGGAGTTCAAGGGGCAATTACACAAATAACTTCAAAGTAAAAGCGCCAGCACTTCACGCATTGCAGCCTCCTGCAGGAGCAAGTAGTGACTTACTGAAAACATGCAACAGAGACGATACCTGTTAGGAAAGGCTTTGTTAATTAGGAAAGCAAMAAAGATTAAAATACTAAAGGGAAGGAATTAAAATCTTGTGTTCAGAAAAGAGATGGTTAGGGCAAGCGTAGCACAGCCTACAATTAGGCACAAATTAGACAAGGAATTGAGAAGCCAGTTGGACTAAACTGCAGCACTTAAAGCCACTGGATTTAAAAAATGAACCCCAGGCCCCAGTGAACTTAACAGGAGAATAAATCTTTGCAGTTCAAGGATAAGGGAGAATTTGAAACAGGAAGCAACTCCGAAAGGTCTGTGCTGCTTATATACGAGCTGTGGCTAGAGATCATTTGGGTTAAAAACACAAACGAAAATGCAAAGAATACCACAGGGCTAAAAAAAACCACTCAAAATAACATGCAAGAAAATTATGGTGGGTTGAGAGAGAAATATCTGACTTTACATTTATTATCCATAAAATAACAGGGTCTGAAAGCGCCTTTGCTGAAAGCCGAGCGAGCGTCACAGCAGGGGCAGCCCACGGAGACCTYGAGAAGCTCCGGGGCGTGCGGAGCTGCCTGCATCCCCACGCACAGGATCCCAGGATGGCTGAGGTTGGAGCGGACCTCTAGGGATCATCCAATCCAGCCCCCCTGCTCCACAGGGACACCCAGAGCACGGGGCACCCGGGCGCATCCCGGCRCGCTGGCAGATCTGCAGAGCAGGAGCCTCCGCAGCCTCCCTGGGCAGCCTGGGCCAGGGCTCGGGCACCCTCCCACCAAACAAGTTCTTCCTCACGTGATAGGGAAGCAGGTTTTCCATTTCAGYTGCAATTAAAGAACCTCCTTCCGTTCTCGGAGCAATCCTGCTGAGACGGTGCCGTGTCCTAATGGCCGAGGAAGAGGAGCAGCCTCCACGGCGGCACGCGCCGGCTCCTCTTGTGGGGCTGGGGGTCCCTTGTGCGGGGGGCAGAGGCCAGGCACAGCCACGGGAAGTGCTGCCCAGACTGCAGACGTGGCCACGGCCCTTCTGTCCTCAACAGGAACTGCTGCCTTCGTGGCACGGAGGGAGACGCGAGCTCCTCGTCGCCCAGGCTCGGGAGCCCGTGCAGGGGCAGCCCCGACCTGGCCTCCCTGCGCGCGGCAGCAGCGGAGCAGCGGGAAGGGACGAGGACAGAGGCCAGCACGGCGAGACCCAGAGCGACTCGCGTCGCAGCAGAGGGTACGTCCGCAACCACCTACCAGCAGGATGGGATCGGAGCAAGGAGGGCAGCTCCAGCCACAGGAGGCTGCGGTGAGCCCAGTAACTGGCGAGGACAGGATCCGACGGAGCCGATATCTGCACTGCCCAGCCAAGGGCGAGACCCTGAGACCCTGCCCATTCCCAACCGGGATTCTCGGCTTCGGAAGACCAACGTGTTCCCTCTGTATCACCAAACCAGCCTGGGCTCGAGGATGCTTTCCTTTGGGGGTTTTGAGGATACTTTTCTCCGGGACCTTTCATCTTTCCAGCAGGATGCAGAAACACACCGACCTGTCTTCCCTMATTAGCTTCAGCTCCTGCAAACCTCCTTGTTTAGGACTTTTCCAAAAGATCCTATGGAAAATTTAGCTTGCAGAGCASGCAGCCCCTCCTCGCTGCTCTGTTTGCAGCCCAAGTCCTGCTCCTCATTCCTTCAAGATGTGGCACGCGAGGCCAGTGGAGCTGTGGTGCCGCAGGATGCAAGGGTGCAGGGATGCAAGTCCTGCTTCCGAAATCGTCCTGCTCTGCCCTCCGCTCCTGTGAGAAGCCCTGTGCTCAGCTGGGCGCCCGGGGCAGCCGCCCAGGGCCCTGATCGCTGCAAATCAGCAAAGGGAATGCACAGCCATTCACAAACACGAGAGCTTCTTTTACGATCCAGAGCCTTTACATGGGAAAAAAATATAAATTTACTGGTTTCCTTATGGTTTTCCTGTAACTCCCAACACTGCTGCTCTTTTCTGCTATGCATGTTTGTTCTATGCACAGAACATGCATAGAACATGCACAGAACATGTTTGTTCTATGCATCTTGCATCTACTCTTTCCATGCCCAGGGTTGCAAGTGGATGTGGGAAGAGGTGGAAGCTGCAGTCTGGCCAAAAGGGAGATCTCCACGGAAGAGCCAAGCGCGGGACTTGGCCACGTTCTCCATGTGCTCCTGAGCTGGAGAAGGCGAGCAGGCAGCTGAGCGGGAGCCTGGGCAGAAGTTACTGCCTGTAACTTCCAGCTACTAGCAGCTGGGACAGGAGAGTGGAGCCGGGCGAGGGGAGTCGCTGCGGTGGAAGGTCCATCGTGCAGCCGCTCCGTGGAAGATCCGCAGCCCCCAAACGCTGCCCTTTCCCTTTGGCAGCMACCAAGCACGTGCTCCACGGACACGCAGGGATCCCTGCACATCCGCAGGTCTCGCTCCGGTTTCCTGACTTTTTGATCCTGAACACTGTGTGCACCTTGGGAATGGGTGCTGCGGGACGTCACCGTGGGGAGGGACGGTGCCGGACACGCGGGCTGGCCAAGGCAGAAGCCCTGTGTCCAGGAGGGCTCTCCGAGGAGCCCCGGCGGACGCTGCAGAGGAACATCGAGGCTTGAGGGTGGCCAAGGAAGGGA